TGCTGCTGCTGCTGCTGCTGCTGCTGCTGCTGTTGCAGTTGCCGCTGCTGCTGCTGCTGGATCACCTCCTGCAGACTCTGCTGGTATTGCTGGTACTGCTGCAGTAGGGAGCCCGGGGACAGCCCCATCAGGGCCTGCGACAGCGCAGGGCTGTAGGGGAACAGGCCTTCCATGCCATACATAGGCTGCAGGTACCCGCTCTGCAGGGCGCCAGGGATCTGGGGGGCGTAATAAGGAGAAAAGCCTGGTACAAAGTAAGGAAGGAACTGGCTCGTGAGCAGTGCTGTGGGGTCTGAAGTCAAGGCTGCCTGCAGGGCCTGCAGCTGAGCAGGGTCCACTGCATACTCCATGGCGGGCAGCGGGGCAGAGAGCGTGGCTGCAGCGGCCGTGGGCGCCTCTCCCTTCTCCTTCTTGGGGGCAGGCAGGGGTTCACCTTTCCCTTTGTGTGCCTTCTCCTTCTCCTTTACTTTCTCACTGTCTTTGTCCTTGCGTTGCTGCTGCGGTGGGAGCTGTGGGGTGGGTGGCAGCTGGGCTGCTGGCGGCGGAGGAGGCTGCTGCACCTGTGGCTGCTGCTGCTGCTGGGGTTGGGGGGGTTGCTGAGGGGCCATCGCCATGGTGGCTTGTGCTGGGGTCGGGGAGCTCAGCGATGCTGAGGACGGTTTATTTGGTAATCCAGATGTGGGGAGGCCAGGGGAAGGAACTGTTGTGCTGGGCAGACCCATCAAGTTCGGTTTAGGAGACGTTAAAGCTAAAAGGAACCGAGACAGAAAGAGAAATAACCAGTTAGTCCAGGGTGGCAAGGCTGAAGCTCAAGACATTTACCTGTGTCACTGGCACAATCTGAGATGTCAAGGTTTCAGCCTGAAAGATCCTCTCAAAACCAACATTTTCAACAGAAGCGTCCCACCAGGCCCAGGACTGGATAGCTGAGCACTGTGATAGGGACCCAGTCCTTTTGATCAGCTCCCATCCTTCCCCTTTCAGCTAAACAACTTGCAACACCTTCCTACCCAGCATACCACACCCATTAGCTGACACTATCCTTGCCATGCACTCCCAGATACCATTCACTCTGCCCAATGCAATTAGTCTGGAGGCCCCCAAACTAGCTGTTTCCAGCTGGGGCTCATTTGAACCAGGGGCTTTCATCAAAGCACTACAGAAATAGTACAGCCACGAGGCTCCACCAGAAGTTGTCTGGAGAAGGGAGCCAAAGCAAGAATCCTGGCAAAGACCCAAGGCCACAGCAAACAAAACAGGCTCTATACATATCCTTCCTCTCTGACCTCCATTGCTGCAACTGAATGGGTGCTTCAGGAGGCCAGAGAAGAGAACCATAGGAGTGTGGAGGAGGGGCCTGGGAAGAAATAAACAAACCCACTCAGGGAAAACTGCTCCAGTGCCCTGGCTCTGCTGATGTGCTCCAAGTCTGCTGAATAAGACTACCACCTCCTCCTGCCCCTGTGTGAAGGAAAGCCCAGTGGGGATTCAGCTGCTTGAGGACCAGTCACAGAAAGAGAAAAGCAGCCTCAGAAATAGAAGAAAGCACTGACACCGTCAATCCCCAAGACATCATAGCCAACCCCTGACTACTGTTTATGGGTCTCAGGAGTCTCTAATCCTATTGGCAGGGACCCACCGTCAATCATGCTCAGTCCTCACCACCTACGCTCTGCAAAGAAAGCCTTCACCCAGCCCAGGGCCTCAGTCCTCCTCAACACACACCTGTCACCTAGAGGGTGTGTTTGGTTCTAGGGTGATGGGAGGAGGGCATTGTGGCTGATGGTACACCAAGCCTCAGGCATGTTCAGACAGCTGGGTTATAAGGAAAGGCAGCAAGGGGCAGTGTGCTAGCGGAAGAAACGCTGAGAATAGGCAGGTTGTGGAGTCCGAGTGCACAGGGAGTGGCCCTCAGGACTCTCCAGATTCACCAATCTGCACTGCTGCACGGCACACACCCCTTCGTGGATTTTTCACAACAGAATATAAAATTTTACATAAGAATGTAAAATTTAAAAATCTTATAGCTCATTAGTATTTAATTGGGACCACTTGCCAGAAAGCTGGGGCAATAGTTCCACAGCATGACACTCTTCGTGAGAAACAAAACAAAACAAACCACTTGAAGCCTAGACCTGGGTGAAGACTATGGTGATATCCAGCAGGAGTGGTACAATGTTCCCTTGACTATCAAAACCCTTAGGTTTCAGATGAAAATAAGGTTGCTTCAAGTCACCAATCCCAGGAAAACATCTGCTAACATTGGATAGAAGAAGGAAGCTTCCCTCAGCATCACATAATGGACTCTTCCAAAACAGCAGAAAGGGAATATGCTAAGAGTAACTCACCCAATTTCCTCAATGTATACAAGCAACTGAAACCAGAGAAGTGACTGGTTGATTGTACCAGAAAAATTCAAATGCTTGATGGTTAAATTGGCATAAATGAGGCAAAGACAGAAGGGATTATGAATTCTAAATCTGGAACAAGGCTCTTTCTGTCTACTACTAAGCAACGGGCCTGCTCCATATTTCAGGTTTGAGGCCAGAGCCAAAATATCTGTGGGGCAAAGAGGGAATGTCCACAGATCCCCCATTCTTGGGGCTTTAGGCCTTTGAGACGAAGATTCAGGTCAGGAGGCCTTAAATCGACTTTGTATGTGTTCAACCAATTGTCTATGAGGGAGACTCAAAATTTAAGAAACATTTCCTAACGCCTGCTATTTGCCAAGCTTGCACTAGTCAATGCACCTTCACAAAAATTCTTGGTTTTCGGTAAGATCACAACCAAGCAAGGTGCTTCACCACCCTGAGTCTCACTCATGTACTTCTGGAGTCAGACTGACCCTGTATGGATTATGGCTGACGCACACTGGCTGTGCAACCTTGGATCCACTAACTGACTCTTGGAACCCCAGCTTTCCACAATAGGTGGTTCTGGAGATCAAATGAAAGGCCATGTACAAAGAGCTCAGCATTGGGCCTGACATACAGTAAATGCTTAATAAACACAAGTTCTTTCCCTCCCATTCCAGATCAGTGCTCTTGGGCTGCGGTACAAGCAGGTGCTGGCAACTGGGGCACTGGGTTACCTGGCTACCCTGACTGATTAAAAGCACAGCTTTCTATCTTGGGTCTACTCAAGCGGTCAGAACCTAAGTAGCACTAAATGTATACCTGTTGACTGACTGGCTCATATTGGGTGTTGTGGAAGGAGCACATAGCACTGGGAGCCCGGAGGCCTGGGTGGGAGCTCTGGCTCCTACCCTAGCTTGCTGAATGGTCTTGACCTCTCTGGGCCTCAGTTTTCTCATCTGTAAAACAAGGGGAATACATCAGACATTCTGGTTCTACTTTTTTTTTCCACATTTTTATGATACGCTGGGCCTTCCTAAGCCCCTGGGCTACAACGATAATTCAGTGCCTGGCAGTTTCCATAGCTTGTTTCCTGGCTTCTGTCCGGCAGGCTTAGCAGCATTCTGTGGTGTTACTTGCCAATACACATATGCACTGACTGCTGTGTCTCAATGCTTTCTTTTCTTGTTCTCTTTGGATAAGAAACTGGGACCAGGAATTCAGTACTTTCTTTGTCCTGGTAAAAATGGCCAAAGCTGCAAAACTTGGAGTTTATTCGGTCAGAAACTAGGGCTGCAGAGCAGCTTTAACCCCTGGGAATGGGCACATTTTGAAGACAAGGAAGCCCTCTGAGGAGCTCTCCTGGGTTCAGCATGTACTGGTCAGTGCAGGCTGTTGTGGGTGGGGTGGGGGCCAAATCCTCCCCGGACCTTGGAGGGGAGGGTCCAATTTGGGAAAGACAGCTGGATCAGGGAAGATGGGTGAGGACAGAGGAGGACAAACAAGAGGTATGTAGGAAGACCTGCAAACTTCCCGTTGAGAATACAGAAGCCAGTATTTATGATTGTCAATGGGTGGGAGGGAGGAAAGGGAAAAGAAAACGAAGGGGTGGCTGAGGATGTCTACAGTGTGAATTAGTACCTCTATCTGGAAGACTGACATGGCCATGTCAAGGCCAAGTACAAGATTCCTGGCCAGTACTTTCAAGTAGAAAGGTGATCTCCTTAGAAACTAGCCCGGCTACTGTTGCTCTGGCTAGAAGAGAACCCAAACAGTACTGAGGAGCCACCACAGAAGAGCGTCTTCCTGAGAGCAGATCTATCACAGGAGTTCTCTAAAACAGACAGCAGGGACCCCAGGTGAGGGCAAAGAGTAAATTTTCCTGGACCAGTTTCCATAGGGTACCATCTAGAATTAGCTAGGACTAAATGTCTTATATTTGCAACAACTATCTAGATGAGACTGGCCGTTTCATAGACCCAAATGGAAGGGTCTATGATGGAAACCTCTTGAAAATTCCCTAGGAATCAGCATGTCAAGTTCTTCCCTATAGCACACACGCTGGTTGTGCTGCAGAACACAGGGCATAAGTGTGGTTTCCGAGGAGACTGTTCTAACCAGGAGCTCCCATCCCTAGACTCGATTAGAAAGGCCAAGAACCCATGTACACACTGGCACTGGGATGGCGCAGTAGAGGGAAATATATTCTTGCTGCTTTCAAAGAAGCAGAAACGAAACCTTCCTGTTTGCCCAGTACTCAGGAAGGTTTGGCATGGTCACCACACAACAAAACACTAACTGAGCTTTGATGCTGAAAAGAATCACCTAGAACAGAACCCACCTGTGTTGGATGGAGTAAAGCCTGGCAAGGAGGGGCTGTTGAGGCCGGGGAGCAACACGGGAGGAATGCCCTGGAGCGCTGGATACGCTGTAGGAAGGTTAAGAGCCTGGAGAGGGGCGTTGTCAAACATCCCTTGCTGCTGAGCTGCCAGTCCAAGGACCTCATTGGCCTTTTTAATCCGGTCCAACTCTTGCTGAGCCATCAACTGACGTACAGTGGCTGGGTCAAAGTATTCTTTCTCCTTGTCCAACTGGCTTCCAATGGTGTCTTTGACTTTGGAGATGTGCTGTTGGGAAAAGATATGGTCGCGTACAGACAGCCGAGCGCTGTACTTGATGCCACACAAAGTGCACTCTGTTTTGGGTCCCTCGTAACTTGTTTGGTTTATACCAAAATGCTTGGCCATGCTTAACTTGGACTTCTTTTCTTTTGCCCGGGCGTTCTGGAACCAGACCTGAACAACTCTCTTTGGCAGTCCAATGTCATTGCCCAGGACCTCACACTCTAGCATAGTGGGTGTCCTATAGTCATTAAAGCATGACTTGAGGACCTTCAGCTGCAAATTGGTCATCTGAGTGCGAAAACGTTTCTGCCCAGGCCGATCCCCGCTGTCACCAGATTTGCCTGCGGAACCACTCACACCAGGACTCGGGGAGCAGGGGTCCGCAAGGCTTGAGGTTTCACTGTAGTCCACTGTACCTTCGTTGTCATATTCTTTGCTATAAAAGCTCGGGGCTGGGCTGACCAGACCAGATGACAACCGATCTTCGTACTCAGACATTGCCATCATGGCTGCTTTGGTCAGCCCCTCACTGGGTGCAGAAGATGATTTGGTTTCAGTTGCTATTCCCGTCGCACTGTCATTATCCGCATTGCCCTCGTCTCCTGTTGTGGTGTCTGTGATTGCCGTGTTGACAGAGGAACAGTCATCGTTGTCCAGCTTAGTTTGGTCAAAGTTTAGATTAACCGAGGACATGGAGGGGCTTTCAAAGTCTTCGATCCCCTCCACCTTGATGGAGGAAGGGCTGAGGAGAGTTCTGGGAGACAGCTCCATGGTCTTACTCACAGGTGAGAGGGGGACACCCTGACCGTCACTACTGCTTGGGGGAAGGTGGGAAAAGCTAGTTCCATCAAAAATATCTCCTTTCATCTGGAGTCCCCCGTCACAGTCTAACAGCATGGCAGACAGAGTCAGGTTGTAGCCGGCTCTCTTGGCTTCATGCCAGTGGCGGGACCGGATATGAGCCTCGAGGGCAGTCTTGGCTTTGAAGAGCGCTCTGCAAAAAGGGCATCGTCTGTGGGCCTGGGCTGGGCCCACCGCCCGGAACTGTCCTTTCCTTTCCCGAGCTCGGGTGTTCTGAAACCAGACCTGCACCACGCGTTTCTTCAAGCCCACCTCGTGCGCGATGTGATCCAACATCTTTCGAGTTGGATTGGAGTCCAGCAGATACTTTTGGTAAAGGATTTCCAGCTGCTCCGGCGTAATGGTCGTCCTCAAACGCTTGTCCCTCTGCGGCTCCTCCCCTCCCGTCCCACTGTCATTCTCTCCGGGGCTCCCGCTGGCCTTTTCCTCCAGCTTCCTCTTGAGAGTGTTCATGGTGGAGGTGGGCGTGGAAGGAGAGGTGGCCGAGCTGGCGGGGATCTGAGGAATGGCCCCCGAGAGCAGCTGGCTGGCCAGGAGTGGGTTGCTGGGATCAAACAGCATGAAAGGCATGTCCAGTGACCGGTCCAAAAACTGCGGGTGGATGAACTGGTTCTGCGCACTCAGGAAGTGAAGCTGCTGATGCTCCTGCCAGTGCTCAAATGACGGGAAGGCCAGCTTGCACTGGTCGCACTGGTAGGGGATTAGCTGAGGAGGTAGGTTCGCCAGCTGTTGAGGAGTTGAGGTGTGGAGGGGCTTGAGGGGCAGGTGGGAGAGCTGAGAAGGACTGGGGCTCGACTGGGGCAGGGGACACTGAGGAGGGGGCGCCTGTGGAGGAGGCTGTGGCAGGGAGGGCGGGGCAGCCAGCTGTGGGAGCTTTGGCTGGGGTGCACTGGTCTTCTGCTCCGGCTGGTCTTGCTGCTGCAGCTCTGCCTTTGGTTGTCCTTGCTTTTCTTGGGTTTGGTTCGGCTGTGCACTGGGAGGGTCAGCCTGCTTTGGTTTCTCATCACTCGCCTCTGCTTTTGAACTGAAGGTGGCCAGGTCGTCGGCCTCCGCTGTAAGCTGCAGGAAAGCAGAGGGAGCTGTATTGGCCGATGGTGCGGGGGCACTGTAAGCCTGCGAGGGCATCGGGGTGCTGCAGGAGGAGCTGGTGGGGGTGAGGATTTCCATGGCATCCATGGAGTCCTCGTTTTGGCTGTCGTCCTGCCCCTCCTCGTCCTCGTCCTTGTAACACAGCTTCTTCTGGTGCTTGATGAGATCAAAGATGCGCTGGAACACCAGGCTACATTTCTTGCACTGGTAGTTCAGGTTGCTTGTTCGGATGTACCTATCATTTGTGAGCTCTCGCCGCTCTCCATCTTTGCCCTCTCCCTGATTCTCATAATTTTTCCTGGCCTTCTGTCGGGCATTCTGAAACCACACCACAATGACTCGGGTTGGAAGGTTCAGTAAATTAGAGAGTTGCTCAAATTCATCGTCCTTTGGGTAAGCATTGGCATCAAAGAAGTCCTGGAGGACTCTCAGCTGGTAGTCGGTAAACCTAGTTCTGGAAGACCTCTTGCTCCCCCAGTACTCCTGCTTCTGAGGTTCCGGGGAAGGAGGCCTGGAGTCGATCTTGAGCTCCTCCAGGCTGGTGATGGGGGGATTGCTGAAGTTGTAGGGTGAGTCCTTGTTGCGCTGCCGCTCTTTGAAGAGAGTGTTCCTGAACCAGTGCTTGATCACTTTCTGGGGCAACCCAGACTTGTCTGCCATCTCTTTGATCTGCTCCTCACTGGGGGAGTTGTTGATGTCAAAATACTGCCGCAGCACTCGGAGCTGGTCATCGGTGATCCTGGTGCGAGGCCTCTTGTTCTGCTGCTGGAGCAGGGTTGGATTGAGCTGGTGCTGGTACAACTGGGCCAGGTCTGCGGGCAGAGGTTCCACAGGGCCAAGCTGAGGGGGCAGCTGAGCTGGCAGGGTCTGCAGTGGCATGGTCTGCATCATCAGCGGCGAGAAGATGGGCAGCTCCATGGGCATGGAGAGCTGGGTGAGCGGCACCGAGGGCTGGGCCGGGGCGATGGTGGGCGAGGTGATGGGTGGGGCTGAAGCCGGGATGGCAGGCGTGGAGGCTGGCTGTGGAGGTGCTGCAGGAAGCGGGGGCGGAGGGGGCGGAGGGGGCGGGGGCGGGGGCTCTGGGGTCTGGGGCCTCAGAGGGTACAGTTTATCATAGTGCTCTCTGTACTGTTTGGCAAACCTCTCCAGCTGCTTAAAGGGGAAGTAATTCTGATGAACATGCTCTTGATGACTCTTTAAAATCAAGATGTTGGAAAACAGCTTGCCGCAGGAGTCGCACTCAAGCTTCTCCAGGTTCTCTCCCTGCTCCGTCTTCCCGGTCTTCTTTTGCACCTTCTGCTTGTTCTCGTTGTACTGAATGACCAGCTCAAAGCCGAAGTTCTCCAGCAAGGCCTTGGTGGCGTTCCCTCTGGCATCCGAGGCAATGCGCGGAGGAAGCATAGAAGGCTCAGAACCACCCCCTGGTGCCAGCTCTTTCTTCTCTTTGGCCTTCAAGGCATCTGGCAGCAGCTCCTTCGGTCCTGCGATGCCTTCTCCCCCTTCAGCACCCTCCCTCTCTCTCTGGCTCTCTTTTTCCTTGTCTTTGATGACCAATTTGTTTTTCTTTTCGGGGAGCTGGCTTGGCTGTAGGAGGGCAGAGTGACTCTGGGACAGAAGTTGGTTTTGCTGCTGTTGTTGCTGCTGCTGCTGCAGGATCTGCTGGTGGCTCTGCTGTGGGATCTGAACCTGAGCCTTCAGATCTTCCAGCAGGCCTGGCCCCGTCCCTGTCAGCGTCAGTGCCCCGCTCGTCACTGGCAAGCTCACCTCGGGGTTGAGCTGGAACTCAGCGCTGGGGATGTAGAAAGGGAAGAGGAGGTGCTGTTGCTGCTGCAGCTGGAGCAGGGTCTCAGTGGTCATGGGGAAGTGAGGCAGGAGGGTGGGGTTAAACAGCTGGGACTGGATCAGGGCAGCCTGCTGCTGCAGTTCCTGCTGCAAGTGAGCCTGAACTTGAGCCTGGGCCTGGGCCAGTGTCTGAGCTTGTTGTTGTTGCTGCTGCTGTTGCTGCTGCTGCTGTTGCTGCTGCTGCTGTTGTTGCTGCTGCCTGGATGCGATCATGTCTGCCAGCTTCTTCCGATTGGCCTCCTTGGGCTCTGAAGGGGAAGCAATGTTGGCACCAATGGGATTCCCTAGGGGCAGCATCCCAACACTCTCAGCGGGCACTTGGCTCAGTAAGCCGGAGCTCGGAGTGATGCTGGCACTACTTGGATTGGTGGTGGTAAAGGTGTTACTACTGCCACTGGTGCTCACGGGACTTGGTATGGAGGAACTCAGTGGGACACTGCCACTGTTCCCAGTCCCATTGCTGCTACCACTTGCAGCCTCCAGCTTGGCTGCTCGGGCTTTGGTTTGATGCAGCACAGACCTCATGTGGATCTCCAGAGTGGAACTCTGGCTATAGGCCACATTACAAGTGTTACACTTAAAAGGTTTGTTGTCTGGGCTGCTGGTGGGTTCTGGTTGACCAGTTGCTGATTCTTGAAGAGCTCTCTTTAACTTGTGCAGGTGGGAGACAGAATTGTAGTGCACCAGCAGTATGTTCTTTTGAGTGAAAGATTCCTTACAGACGGTGCACTTGTAAGGGCGGGAAGGGTCTAGAAACTTTTCCATAGTAAAGTTGGGGCCTTTTCTGAAAGGTAGAGCTCTCTTTGGCTCTGCGCCTGAATCTTCTTGTACCGACCCAGAGTCACTGCCCGTGGGGCTCTGTTTATCTTCCAAGTCACTTTCTTCTTCCTTGTCTTCTTCAACAATTATGGTGTGGTCTTCAGCCAGGGTGGGGTCTCCCATTGCCAAGAGGTCCCCATTGGCCAGAAGGCCACCATAAAGTTGTTGAATGTCGGCCTCACTCAACTCCAGGTGGCTTGTCTCAAGGTGTTTTTTCAGAGCCTGGAATGTTCGAAAACTGCGCTGACAGAGACAGCACATGGTGGCGGCTCGGATCACATGGTACTGAGAATGCAGCTGCAACTTTTCGATGGTCTTGAAAGCCAGGCTGCACTGGTTGCAGCGGTACTTGTACACGTGGCGATCTGACACGGGCAGCTGGGGCCTCTTGGCATGTACCTCATTGAAATGTGTCTGGAGGGCAGCTGAAGTCTTGAAAACCTGGTTGCACCCCTTCTTCCAACAGAGGAAGCCCGAGTCTTCTCTCACAGATCCTGGGTCAGCAGAAGAAGGTTTCAAATCTCCGCTGTGCTCTGTGCTTGCAGATGGCAAGATGTTCTTTCCCAGATCCTCTGAAGTTTCTGCAAAAAAAAAAACATCAAGCCCAAAGATAAAGAAGGTCTTGTTTCCGGGATGGCACCCAGAGCCGTCTACCTAGGCAGGCTTCATGAAGTCCCCAACCTAATCAATAGAATCTGCACAGGGCTGATGGAGTGCATATTAAAAACAGGGCACACAGGGACAGAGATGAATAGAAGGATACAAAAGTTTCCATTCATAATGAGCCTATGTCTTGTCACAGAACTAACAGTCTTCTAAATAATATTTAACTGCTTGACTCAGAATCCAGTTTCTCAAGAATGAGCCTGAAGGTTACTGATCTTGGGGTGCCTATTTATGTTCATCTTTTATGTTATAAGAATTTAGAATAGCAGATATGAATTAATGCTGTTCTAAGTTGTGGGGAATTTATAATAATTGTAGTCCATTATAAAGAATTTTGGATTTTACTTTTAGGCCTTTAATTACTTGTTATGACTTTTTGACTATCATCTCTATTCAATAAGCAATGAACATTAATGTGGCAAATTATTAAAATACATTAAATTTTCTTCCACAGTGAGACCATTATACTCATAAATACCCCAACCCTTTTCAGATCATCTTTCCACTGCCTAATAAGAAAAACCACAAGGGAGAAGCCTAGGCACAGCATGGCTGAACTCTTTTTAACTTAAACCTTAGATGGCTAGAAGAGGTCAAAGATGTAGGACTGTGTCACAGAGGTCTAATGATTCATCTAGGTAGGAACCACAGGATGGCACCGGCGACTGGTCTACCACAATGGTCTTTCCAGATGCACCTCTAATCCAGTACACCCCCAACTCAAAACTACCTGATTCACAAGCCCCTAATAACTAAGTCCTCAGAGAACCAGTGTTTAATGGCTTAAGATGGTGGTCTACAGAGGCCTACTGGCTGAGTCTACTTATTAACTCCCACTGGTTCTCAAGCAGATTTCTCTGACTTTTAAACCATATGAATAATATACAAATACGTGCCAGGAACCAAAGTATAAAGTAGTTGGTGACAGTGACCTTCATCTCCCAATCAGTCACATTCAGCTTAGGAATCCTGCAAAGAATTCCTGCACCCTTGCCCTGTGCAAATTATGGCCACAGATTTCACCCTGTTTCAGTTCACAGAAGTTAAGATTAATGATACTAACCAGGCTGCTTTCCTGCCTCTTCCACGCTGGAATTCCCATCTCGATCTGGAACAGCTGCTGGCAGGAACATGCTGCTGGGCATCACCATCTCAGGGGTGGTCACCTGAGGAGTGAGAGGCAGAGACACAAGGAGAGTCAAATAGAGAGGAAAGAGACACAAAATAGGAAAGGTTGAAAAAATTATTTAATAAGCAAAATTAGCCTTCACCAGTGTAAAGCTGGAGGTGTCACTTTTCATAGCTCACTGAAGATTCATGTTTATTAGACAAAGCTCACATCAGTCAAAAGTGTTTCTACGGTTACATTCTGGACATAATTAGCAGTGCACACTTGAAGAATAATCTTATTATTAATATTTTTCCTTTATGCAGAATTTTGACTTTGATCACTGACAATGTTTTGTCATGGGCTGTGAAACTTCTCGTGCAACCAATTAGGTAGATAAGTTGAAAGACCCACCTTAAGCTGCTGAAAACATAATAAGGGCCCTAATTAAATCATACCGAGTAAAGTACACTGTAATCTTGAAGCAGGGAGCATTGTAGTAGTGTTTTCAAAATGTATTCAGGCAAGAAGAGGAGGGGAGGAAGAGTGAAGGAAAGGCTAAGGGAGAGAGGAGAACAAAGGCAAGGCTGAGGACATGCAGACACACTGGCAGATTTTCCAGGAAACAACATTTTGTAACCCTTTACAAGCTGATATCAAGTGCAAACAAGCCTTTTTCATGACTCACTTAAGCCAGAATTTCTTCTGGAGTCTTTGCCCAAGGTCTATGACATCAGAGGGAACATCTGCCCAGCGACCCAGCCATCTAGGGCAGCCTGTTCAGCAGTCCACAACAAGGTGGCCCCACCTCGACCATGGCCATTATACCCTAATACAGCAGCTCCATAATTAGCCTGGTTCCAAGCAGCTCCAATTTTAGGTCAGATCCTTGGATATTTCTCTAGGCCTCCCTCCTAGAGAGGAGGCCAGCAGCTTATGCCAACAAGTTATCATTTGCCCTGTGTTAAGGAGATAAGCATCCCTCAAATTCTAATATAAGGAGAAAAAAGTTTTTGTTTAAAAAAAGAACAATATCATTCCAGTGACCCAGGAAACTGAGGCAGGAGGACCTCAAGCTCAAGGCCAGGTTCAGCAACTTGGAAGACCCTGTCTCAAAAAAAAAAAAAAAAAGGGCCAGGAGGTGTAACTCATTGATAGAGTACCACTCAGTTTAAGACCCTGTTCTAAAAAAAAAAAAAAAAATCCAGGGATACTGTAGTGCAGGATGCTTCCAGGTTCAATTCCCAGTAACGAAGGAAAATAACCCTAAAACCAAAAACCAGCAATATCCCTTTGTCTGCTCTGGGGTAGGACGCTTAGATGGCAAAAGTAGTTTCTAATGAATTAGAAATCACCTCCCATTTCATGAAACCCTGAAAAACAGACTGACCTAAAGGTTACAGGGACAGAAACTGCAGTCACTGCTAACCTTTCTATATCCAGCCCAGCCCCAGTCGGAGTCATTGCTTTCCCAAGCAAACACGACTTTACTGCAGTCACATCTTCACTTCCTATTGCAAAGACGGGACCTTCTAAAATTTTGTTCAAAATTAAATAAATAATATTTTAAAAATAATCTTTAGTGGCTTGAAATTCCTGCCCTTGCTCAAAATAGCTGCTGACATGTTCACTAGTATCACTGGCAACAGGCTCAACCACCAGCTGAAACCCAGACAAGTGGCATCAACACCAAAAAATTGATGCCACATCACATTTAGGGGTATGAGAATTTTTTCAGCCACCAAGACACCCATATGTGCAAAAATTAAGCAACAGGCACTAGAGAGGAGGGTTCTGAGAAGCCTGTGTTTGCAAAGAGCAGGTGCGTGGCAGGTGAATGTGAGTGACACGGCACTCCTGCTCCCAGACATCTGCACCCTTGCACAGAGCTGCCAGCAGCTGGTTAGGGCGAGCTGCTGCTGAATCGTTACAATGGGGTAGAGATTGCCAAACTCATTCCATCTATTTTCTTTTTAATAGAAAGCATTTCTGACCAGTGTGGCTGGGGAGTCCAGCGGGAATCCAAGAAGTGAAAGGTCACCGATTAATTTATAGTCTTCAGCCAAGGGGGAGCACGAGGTTGGGGGCGAGAGGGGGAGAAAAAGAAAGGAAAAAAGATTCCCCCCAACCTCCTTTCCCGGTTGTGGCTGCAGGATCAGTCCTTTCCTGGGATCTTTAGGAATTATGAAAAATGAATCATGAGAAATAAAAAAAAGCCCTACAGAGTAAAAAAGAATAAAATTATCTAACACCTCAGCTGCACATCATTATAGAAAACTGTGGGCTTTTTATACGCATTACAGTAAGGCAGACATCCCCTCTAACAGACTCAGTACGGCGGATCAGTAATTGTTTTCATACACTTTAATTAGAAAAACTCAGATGGCTATGAATAATAATGGAAAAGAGAGACTTTTGCACTTGAAAGGTTGAAGTCAATCAAGTGTGAATGACGGCAAAAAAGAAAAAAAAAAAAGACACCAATTCATCAGCCCTCTGTTGTCTCGCTGCGACTTTAATCATAATTCCTGATTGGGATTCAAGAAGGCAGTAAGCAGCGGTTCTTTGTCTGCCTTCACCTTCCATCAATTAACTCTCCCCGAAATATAATCATCAACCTCACATGCTCCTCTGCATCTTAATCTGGGCCTCCAAACCTGGAAGTCTTGCCCCATATGTGTTTAAGTAACTACTTTTATCCACCTGCCTCTTCTCATCTATGGTATATGTAGCCACTCCCTGAGGCAAAGGAAAAAAAAAAAAAAAGCATGGTGTACGAAATTTTAACAGGCAAGGAGGCTCCAGGAGGCAAACAGGAAGTTTCACAAACAGAAATCTTTAAGGACCTAGAAATGTAGGGTATGTCTGCACATGCATCTGAAGAAAAGTTGAGAGCAGCAGCTGCCTCACTACACTGGCTAAGGGAGACCCCGCACTAGTTCGAAGACACCAAGATTCCCAGGCCCATGCTGCTCCCTCCCCGCCAGCTTCCAAAGCTTTTCATGCTAACTCCTGTGCTTTTTCCTAAAGAGCTATCAACTGTCCTGCCAACTGAGCTACAGAGCAGTCCTGCTCAGTGAGGGAAAGGACAGGGACCCAAGACAGTGTCACCTGCCTTGACATTGCCTTTGTTTTCCAGTAGTATTTGACTTCCAGAGTGCATGGAAGGTTCAGACTGTCCCAGCCCCAGTCCCTGATGGACAGCTGACAGTGGGAGAGTCAGTCACGCAACTGTGCTGAGTGCAGTTCTCTGTCACCAGGAACACCAAACATATAGGATTTATGAGAGGACAAAACATTTTAAGTGTGCCCAAGCTTCAATGGTCTTCAAATAACTGGATCCTTCCACCAGCTTCCCTGTGTAGATATCAGGTACGTGAGCTGGCTGTCGCTCTCTTCCCCTGATTCCTCTCTGTTTGTCCACGCTCCTGCCTCATCCACATCCCCAGCTGTAAACTCAAAAGCCAAACAAAAATTTCTGAGCTTTGGTCAATACACCGTCAGCTCAAACTCCTTCACTCAACACTGACTGTCCCGTCTGTATGAACTGATCCTAATGAATCTGTATACCTGTAAACACTGAATACATTCAAATATATTTCCCACTCTCTACTCTCTTTTCTAATGGGCCTGAGAATATCAAAACAGACTTAACAATAAAAGTTCTTCTGGTTAAAAAAAACTCAACTGATCAGAAGAGGCGTTTAATGCGTACAAAAAGCCCAGTTTTCTATAATGACATGCAGCCATTGCTTCCTTGGCATTTGGGTCTCTCAAGATTGGCCTTGGCCCTGCCAGGGCTGATCTTCTAGACAGCACATGTTTTCCTCCTACCCCTTCTGAGCCAGGTCAGCTATGTTCCTCCCAGAATATGCAGGAGTGAAGAGAACACAGGAAGAAACCACCAGCAGAGCTGGGGCGCTCCAAGCCTGGAAACAAACAGTGGCTCTAACATCTCCCAGCAAGTTAAAGATCTCATTTTTAACAGGAGAAACTTGGGCCTCGGCTCCTGTGCTGAAACTCCTTCAGCTGAAGCTGGAAGCACTTCTCATATATAATCACAGAAACAGAGTAGTTTCCAACTGATGCTAAAGATCTTCAAGCCTAAGCAATCCCCAAACAGCTCAGCTGTTGAGAAGCAAGGCCCTGGAGGGACTCGGTTCCTCCACTCATTGGAGCTTCATTGACTAAAGCACTGGACAGTGCTCCTGGGCTGTTCTCCTGGGGGAGGGAGACCAGGCCCCTGCTCTAAGAAGCTCAGCATCTAGAATAAGGTTTTGAGATCATGAATCCCTTGGAGATTATGATGAAAGTATCAGACTCCTAGAAAAATACTTTCACACACGATACTGCAGATAATTTCAGGAGGTCAGAGGTCCCCAGAGGGAAATATGTTGACTCAAGGGAATTGCCCCTGATCAACTGGGAGAGGTGACATGTGTTCATCAATACTGACTTTCAGTCTCCTCCTCATTTGGTTCATCATTGTTCTGGATTATAATTTAATACCTTTCAAGATCCTATGAGTGAACCTGAAAGCCCCAAGGACACACCTTATAGAGCCCAGAGTCTTATATTTGGTTCTGGTCCCCACTTTGACATTCGTTACAGGGTGGCTGATATTCACTCCTTCTTGAGAGAGGCAGGCGTTAGAAGGAACACCTACCTGCTTCCCTCCCCAGATCACAGATGTGGAATGCTCCAGTTCAACATGCCGTGCAGCCACGTCTCTAGCTTCTTACCAGATTATTCCTGCAAATTCACCCCATAAAGCCACCCTCAGGCAGGCCGGCCCAGGATGTACCAGTGCAACCAACGTGCTCCCTGCGTGCTGGAGAGCTGGCTTTCTTAGAGAAAGTGTCGAACCTGGTTTCTCCGTGACTCTCCTCTCCTCCGCCTTGGCCCTGCTCAGAAGTGGGGCTTCTCTGGGAAAGGCTCCCTCTTCCATGGGAAGGGTAGATTTGCCAAGGTCTACATTCCCAAGGACTTTCAGTGAAAATCAATAGAATGGAGCATCTCAGGCAGAAGGGGAAGTGAAAGGGAGCCACAGGCACAGACCTGGCCAGTCTCCATACCCCTGTGAAGGAGGTGCTGGTTCTAGCCCCAAATTTAAGCACAAAGTCAAAACTCAACTGCTTTCAGGGTGGAGCATTAAAGCTAGTGGCCAGTGGTGTGCGGAAAGCTGCTGCTCCAGGAAGCACAGGTGCTCCCTTCCTCCTGCGCTGGGACAGCTGCCAGGCCCACCGGCTGGTTTCTGCACACCTCAGCCAGCAAACCAGGGCGCCTCTTGGCCAGCAGAGCTTCAGAGGGTCCCCTCCTCACTGCCTCCTAATGGTGCAGGCCCTGGACTACAGCGTCTGGAAGACCCAGTTTCTTTCTTTCTTTCAGTCTCTCTTTTTTTAATCTAAATTTTTTTTTCAATTGACACATAATTGTACAAATTTATGGGGTGCAATATGAAGAATACTTAGTTTAATGATCAAATAAGGGTAATTAGCATATTTATCACCTCAAACATTTATCACTTCTGTGTGACAAAACATTAGAAATCCTCTCTTCCATTGTGAAATCCAGGGCCAGTCAGCCTTTGTGCAATCAAACATCAGAATGAGTTCTTCAAATCGGACTGACTTTGTACCCACTGGCGAGTCCCTCCCAGCTCCCTGCCCCCCCCCCATTTCCCTTCTCAAATGGCTTCTGTGTGCTTGTTTATGTGCTTCTTGTTTTTAATACATAAAATTCACAGCAAAAGCAAACAAACAAAATAAAACGGCAGGCCATGTTAACGTTCATGTGGGTCAGAATCAAATGCAGACCAGAACCAGATTTTTAAAGGTAAGAAAGAGAGAAATTGAAAAAAGGGGCAGGGGAAGAGGAAGAGGCAGGAAACACATGAACAGTTACCACAGTGTGTGCACACAGAGGAGAGCCGAGGAGGAGAACGGAGGGAGAGAAAAGCTTCATTAGACTCCGAGAGGCAAGCAGTGGCAGTATACCAAGGTCACTTCTAATTTAGACCATCTAATTGGCAAACAGGCTCCAAATGGCTATCATCTCACAGGGCTTGGAATTAATGAAGCCCGATTATTTTCATTACTTTCCTCTGAGATGGAGACAGAGTGAAAGAGCTGATACCCAGGTGGGTGTGAAAGCCCCAGGGCCAGTGGCCACCAGAGAGGCCCTGTGGGGTGGGGGCAGAGCAGGGGCCAGACGGCCAGCCTGTTCCATAGACTCACAGAGGCACAGGCACACACAGAGCACAGTCCCAGACACTGCCTGAAGATCACAGGAGACAAACTACTGCTCCCAAAAGAGAGATACAAGAAAATGGCAGGCAGGGCAGGGCAGGGCACGGCCAGGGGCACAGAAGGGAAATCTGTGCGTGTACAAAACAGACAGAGCAGCTGAGTACTACAAAAGGGAGGAGAGGGTGCTCCTAGGCTCAGGAGCCCATCCTCATCTCAACTGTGAGGTCCTATTTTGTTAAGTGATTAAAGAACAAAGAAAATTTCCCCATATTAATGATCCAGGATCCCAGTGGTATGTCCTGTCACTTAGAAAGACAGTGATCAATTAGAATAATTTAAGAGTATTGAAATGCATGGTAGGTGGTCTTTTCTATTCTCATCTAGGGGCCAGAAACATGTGCTCCATGTCCTCAACCTCCTTCCCCCAAAGATACAGAAAATAAGGGCATGAAGCAGTAGCTCCTACAGCTCCATCAATTTGAAATCCCCAGCTTCTCTGAAAATAGGTGAGACTTGGTTGTGTGAAACTGACACGGGGGTGGGGGGCGGACTGCCAGGATCGGAGGGGCACTTGTCTCATCTCCTTTAAGCTTTATAGATTTCCTTCTTTCATATGACGTGTACAAAGACACCATCTGGAGCTGTTTCCAATAGGCCGAGCAGAATGATGTGCCGTGGGTGCAGTTTCCATAGTGGAGGGCCAGCGCTGCAATTGTTCCTGGTGAAGAATATTTTTCAAGCCCCCTCATGAGTAAAAAGAAGGGGGCCCATGGAAGACATAGATATGAGATGCAGAGCATAAGCAAGCAGCTGTTACCATAGCAACAGACATATTAGACACTGCAGGTTCCTGAAAGCTGTCTGATAAGGTATTATTAAATGAAGCCTCCTCAAAACGCTCTCCATTTACAACCGAACGGGAAGACATTGTGTAGAAAGTAATCTCTTTCCATTTATCAGGGTGGAATTTACTTTTAGAGGGACTGAAACCCAATTCAAGCTAGATCCCAAGACTTTGGATCCAGACTGAAAAAAAAAATATTTACCCAAATTTATAGCTTTAGACACACCCCATATCTGCCAGGAATCAACTACCTGGCAGATTCTGCCAGCTTCTCCTATTCTGCAGCCAAAGGCACCTAATTCATCCACCCCTTGAGGAAGAAAGAAGACTCTCTCTTCTTGCTGCCATCCAGGGATAAAGCAGACACAAACTTTGTCCTCTTGTTGGATGAAAGACTGGCCGCTCTTTAGTGATATGGTCTAGAAAATGGAGCACAGATTTGAGGGGCATTTCTCTTTGCAGAGTTTCCTGTTCCAGTTGGCTGGGAAAAAAAAGATAAATTGTCAGAGAGCCTAACCAATACTTTCCCAGGGCTGATTTTCTAATAAAATTACAGCAAAATACCCTCCAGGGGCATGATTTTAACCACAGGTTCATTATAATCACTTAGTTGTAAAACAACTACAAATTCCATTTTAACACCAAACTTCTGAGAGGAAGGATGCTGGCATCTGACCAAGACCAGTATCCCAGTCCTCAAACAGGATTCCAGACGCACCCTGGGGTGTGGCTACAAATTGTCCTCTAGCCCTAGTTGCTCATCATTTCCTGCTGAACCCAAGGATCGAGGTGGAAATGCATCATTTGGCTCACTGCAAACCATCTCATGACTAGGAACCAATTTCAAACTGGCAGCCATGCCACAACTCCATCTTCCCGTGCCCAGAGAGTGCCAAAGCAGCCTTACATGCACTTCTAAGGAAAAAGTAACACACTTAAATGATGATCTTTCCTGCATTTCTCGCGACTTTCAATTTATTTTTGAATCCGTTAACTTCTTTCTCATTGCTAGCAAATCCATTTCCTAAAACCAATACATTTCCAACACTCTGCACACTTTTCAGAAATGTCTAGAAAACATCTTCATTGTCTGCTGTGGCAAGATGAGGCACACAGGGGTTTCTAACCAGGTGCCAAGCACTACTGTTTTTGAGAGCAGTTTCTCCCACATGATTATACCGTCAGGGGTTGAAGAAAAGGGATCGTTAAGCAGCTCCCTGAATGTAGCCTTAAGCTCCCTGGCGTTGTGCACACAATTCTTTATTTGCAGAGTACTTGATGGAGGATCTACAACAGTGGCTATTAAGTTTTAGCATGCACAAATGGCCTAGTATGTTGTTGTATTGCTTTTATCAGTCTCTAAAATGGTTGAAAATCACTGCTTCAAAAGATGGTGGTTAGTGGGTAACTTCCAGGAATATCTTGAGGATTGGTACTCAAAAGTAATATCCTGCTGTTGATATTGACACTGTTAATAAATAAAGAAATGCTATTGCTACTCTAACAATATGACCAAAAAGAAGAAAAAAACAGGTATCTGAAAAATAATTCACATGCCATGCTGTCCTCCATGCATGTAAAAATAAAATTTACTGTCCAATGTAAACCAGTCATGCAGATTACTATTGGCCCACAGTTCCTATGCTGGATTTGGATTAAATAGCAAAAATACCCATCTGAGCAAAAGAAAACCCATTGTTAAGTATTGGAAATGCTTCCATACCCACACTTCTTTTTGATCCTTCAGGCTCCCAGGGTTCCAGACCATCCACTAGGAAGTGAGATGAGGCCTGGGAAAAACACCTTGTTTTTTCCAAGAGGCTGGTGAGGAGCTGGAGAGGCCTGCAGCCCAGAACCATGCACAGGTGGAACATCTGCCCCACTGACAGAGAATCTTTCCACGAAGTTCACCAGCCTCTCTGAAAATGCCCATGGAAAGTGAATTTATACTTGAAAGATGTCTGGAAGAAGCTCACAGTAGGTCACCTCTGAGTTTTCCATTAGCTGTTAAAGTTCTCTTGATGCATCATCGATTACATGATCCTCACAACTAAACATCACCTGCAACATCGTCCATCAGTCTCACATAACCAAATGGAACAGGAAATGCCTACAGGTGATTATGATCAGAATTAAATCTTTATACTACAAACTTTTGGGCCATGTTTATAGCGACCACTTAGAGTCATTCCCTCAAAGCTAGCAGGTGTAGAAACAATGTGCTCACATGCAAAGATGGCTCATGAATCACCAAGTGACAACTTTCTTTCTTGATACTAATATATCCATTTGAGAAACTCCCATATTACTGTGCTACACCTAGAGTTAGAAATGTAGGTTTAAGTTTTGATTCTGCCACTTACAAATGGTGTCAAGTTGATTAACTTCTTTGAGTCTCAGTTTCCTTATCTGTTAACGGGAACATGTTGAACTCTCCTTTCCCGGCTTCTCTCTCTTATAACAGAAGTTGTTATGAGGATGAAATGAGGCATAGTGAATTTAAGAGCCACCTCGACCTGCTCAGTAAAGGTTGCAGAATCTGAATGAGGGTTTCTACACATTAATGGAGAGTCACTCCATTCCTCCGAATCCCGAGAGAATGATAAAGGAGGGTGAGAAGCACATATTTAGCAGTTTGGGCCATGGTCATGCCAAGTCTGAGGGAGGGACATCTGAACCAAGGTCACAGAGCTTGGATGATTTTCTAACATTTCCAACTTTGCATGGCTTTCCCTGCCAACCACAAAGATCTTGTTCATGTTACTGTATCTCCTTTTGGCCCCTGGAGGAAGAAAAGTCCTGTTCCCGGTGCCTTACCGTCATAATGAGTTTCTCCACGCAGTCGGGTGCCACGCTGTGGAGGTGGGTGAGGTGCAGCTGGAGGTGAATCTTGTTGTTGAGCATGTCCTGGCACAGGGGGCAGCGCAGCATGGGCTGTACCGAGTGCTGCGTCATGGCGTGCACCCGGAGCCGGTTCACGTCGGCGTTGCTGTACTTGCAGTAGGGGCACTGGTACATCTGTGGGGACACACCCACCGCTCCAGCTGAGTCTTCCATTCTCGCCTCAAGCCCTCTCACCCTAGTGTTTGTTCCCCACCAGTGTCCAATTGCCCTCCACCCCCAGCAGGGCCTCTTCAGCCTCACCTGCTCTGGTTTGCTCTCCTCGGATGTTTTTGGTCGCTTCGAAGAGAGAGGACAGTCTGAGCTACCCGGGAAGGAGATGCGTTTAGAGGTTGCAGGAGAATCTGTCAGCTCCTTCTCTGCTTGGCTGGACGATGCTGGAAGAAAAAGTAGAAGATGAAATACAGTAGGCAGACCAGGCGCACTGCAGGTGTGTGCTGGGTGAGAAACAGCATTCCATAGCGTTCTTTTATAGCAGTGTTTTGTTAAACACCAAAATGCAGGAAGGATGAACATCCAAACTGATTTATCAAGCGTGTTGGAAAAGAGAAGGGGTTCTTTTCTCCCTATGAATTTCTGTCACCACACTAACAACTGAACATTGAGAAAAGAGGTAAAGAAATGGAATACAAAGCTCTAGAGTAGAATGAGACTAAATCCAGTCCCTTCTAACCTCCCCCAACCTACACATAGTCCACTGTCTTGTATCTGCGGGGGGTAACAGGGCTACAAGTGGGTGGCCAAATCTCACCAACTGCTTTGCCAACTTGAGTACCGGACACACTGCTTCAGAGATGCAAGAAACTAGACATCCCTCCTCCTGGAACCACAACACAGCACACTACAGGCAACCTGATAAATTATAATCTGAGAAGGGTTCAGTGGATATCTGGATACTAATATGTAGGAAGAAATCAAGTCTGGGTCCAGCAGTTTGCGCTTGGAGAAGAAAAAACTGGGGAGTGGAACTAGGCAGGGAGTTTATCCAAGTTATAAACAGGCCAACATGTCAGATGTAAGAGGCTGCTCAGGAGGGATGGAAAGGGAACGGGTGTCCTATCTGCTGGCACAATCAGGCCTCTGCGCCCCTCCTGTCCCACCACCCCCAAAATCAAAACACCAGTGAATGAAGAGAGGCACATGAGGTTTGATTAGCAAACAGTGGGTATGGATGTGTTGGCAGAAGGAGCTCTCTGAAGCGTAGAAAGGAACCTGGAAGATTTTGATGAGAAAACAGCTGGGCTAAGGGTCTAATCAGGATAAGCATGTCTCCTCCAGTGTAACACACATTCCAACATGGCTGGCTTTGGTCATTCTAAAGCCTGGCTGGCATTTGAGGGATAAGCTCTTTCACTTATTTTGGACATGGAACTCCATTTTTTTAGAATTTTGCATAAAGCAATAAGGAAAAAAAAAATCCCAAAAAATGGTTGGGAGAAGGTACATATACCCACAGCTGTCATCAAAAAATATTGTGACTCAGCATTTAGGTCACCAGCTAGCCTAATTTTTACTCCACAGTAAAACTGCTTTCTTCCCCACCTTGTCTAGTTCTCTAGCACGTATTTTCACTTTATATTCAATTTTGAAATTTGTTCTTCCGTGGACACCAAGGAACTGTCATTGTAGATGTGTACTTTAATAAACAACTTTAGAAAATCAATTTTATTCATTCAAATCATAAGGCCACAAAATTATTTTGAAAAAAAAAATTGGCCAAATACAGGAAATATTCCAGGAAGTTGATGTTCTTCCCAGAATGCACATCTTATGACCTTTAACCTCAGTATCTTGATAACCTGGTATCCATAAGTTTGTAGGACATCTATTATTTAAAAAGTACAAGGACAAGCATATTACACATAGACCCCTCCTCCTCCCAACACAGATTCATAACAGTACTTTAATCTGTCTCGAATCGACTTCAAACCCATTTTGCTCTTAATGGGAGTTATTCATTTTCACTTGAAAGGTAATACATGACGGCGGGATATTTAATGTGATGGACTGGCTGCTGATTAACTAGGTGCTGTAACATTCTAGACCAGTTCCCCCATGGCCCGCTTCCCATCTCCTGGCCCCTGTCAGACCTGATCCTACGGAATCTTGCACTGCAGGTTTTAGACCTTGCGACACCATGAGCCCCTGCCTGGACACTTCCACCACCTCAGGGTAATGTTTCAGGGACTCAAGCTCCCTCTGTCCCCAGAGGGTTCCTTATTCTCCATCATTTTTATTTTTGCTTAGTGGATATTGTCTAAATAGTAACTCTTCAAATACACTCTAAAGATGGGGTGAGTGAAGGCATCAAATGGCACAGTCTTTAGATGATTATTTGTCCCTGTTGTCCCCTCACCTTCCCTATTCCACACCATTAGATTCTGGGCTCAGTACTTATAGTGGGGAAGGGCTGCTCTCTGCTTCTCCTCCCTGCAGAGGCAAACCAAAACCCAGGCTCCGTTCTGACACCCATTCCAGTGTTTCTGTTAGTCTCTCTGGCCCAAAACTACACCAATGTTTACAGGACCACGACATCGCTGCATCAAGGCCTCCACCTGCCCGTCACCCCACCATGGACTGAGTTGACTGTGTAGCTGCTCAGCAGTGAGAATGAATGGGCGCCGAGGCTGAGACCACCCAACTCATCTCACTCTCTTGGAGCTGAAAAGCAAACACAGGAACCCAGTGTGGCATTAGTTTCCTCGTAGGACCAAAGAGTCCATCCTCCTCCTTCAATGCTGAACGCGTGCATTGTAGCGGGGTTGCAGAGGTGAGCATTCCGGTTTCAGAAGCCACTATTCTTTCCCCCTGCATGGAGAGGGGAACCTTTATTACCTTCTTTTTTTTTTTTTTTCAAACTCACACTGCTCTGGAATTCTAAAGCTTCTTTTGTGAGCTTGAGCTAAAGAGCCATTATAAAGTGTTTTAAAAAATAAAATCAGTACTCGCTCACTCATTCCTCTTTATTCCCAGTAACACAACAGCTCTGCTGTAATGTGAAATACTGTACCTGCTGGTGCACAAACTTTGGGTTTAATCTCCTTTCTCTCCGAGACAACTGCGTCCTTGTTAGATGGACTCTGCCTGGAAGTGGACAGGAGCCACCAGCTCACTAGCTCCTCTAGAGACAAAGCAAGACCATTCTTACAACCGAGTCTATAACCACCCAGACACAACCTGTTTCCTAGGGGCTGTGGGGGCCATGCCTGGGAGTTAGGTTAAACACAGCTGACAGTCTCCTCCCTACCTGGACCTCAGACACAAAACCATCAAGTCCTGAAGGGGAAACTGTCCTACTTCTGAGTGGCAGGAACTCCCCATCAACATGTTAGCTGAGGGTTTATTACAGGCCACAACCTGAGGTTTTCTCAAGCTTTTCTCTGAACAACTTCAAAAGGACCTGAGTCTCAAAATCAATTTCTGCTTCATTTCTGTCACTAGCGTATGTTGTAGGCATAAGGAAATGAGGCCGAAAGAATATCAAGAGAAAGTACTCTAGTTTTCTGCTTTGAAGACTTTTCTAAACTTGAACTTAAACTCTAAAAGAGATGTCACAATATAGAAAACACATTAAAAAATCAATTACTGGTCACTCTGAGTCTGCCATGATGTAACATCGGTGCAAAGGAAATAGATGTGCTCCAGAGACAGGACATGGTTCAAACGGTCAGTGCCCGAAATCTCTGGTTTATACCAGCAATGAGAAAACCAAACAATGTGAAGGGTTACTACCTGTAGTGGCTGTTATAATAATGATAAAGTAAATTGGCAGCAGTCTACATACTTTACAGCAGGGCACGGTATAGCCATTATACTGCATATTAGAGAACATTAAAAATTTCTAGCTCTGAAACCAATATGGAAAAAAAAACATTGGAAATGTAAATCAGAATAGAAGATAAAGTAGGAATTATATTATGTCACCACTATGTAAAAAAAAATAGATATTAGGAAGAAACTAGAAGAAAATGTATTTAGGTGAGAGCATCTTGGGCCATTTTTAAAGTCTGTTATGTAGTTATATTATCCCTAATATTATAATTAAATGGTTTAGCATTTAAATTCAGCTGTCCATAAAAAAGTTGATATTTGGATCCATACTGTGCAAAACATCAGGTGGTATTTTTTTTTTTTACTCTGCTGGTTAAAGCAAATTTTCTCACTTTGGCAGTTATGTCATATGAAAATATGTGTTAAATCGCAATGAATCTTCCACAGGCGACACGCTGGGATCCTGGCATTTCAAAAGGGATCAAAATATGGCAAGAAATCGTGAGTGGTGCAGTGTACATGACACACTCTGTCGGGCAAGGTAAACGGGATGTTGTGACGAGGGAAATGTTGGGTCAAAATTCCTACTGAAATTTAACAGAGTGCTGGCCGTGGTTCCTTGCCTCACCGATTTTCTCAGGAGTTAAGAAGCACATGGTCATCTTGTTAGGAGGTGCTGCTGGCCCACCTGGCTTGGACAGAAACAGCTGGTTGTCTCTACCCTGGAGTTCAGAAAATTCAAATTGGCTTTTGGGCAAAGGGCTAAGAGCTACTGTACCCTTCAACTGGGAGAAAGGAAACTAGCAAAGACAAATATTGAAAGAGGGAGACCTGATTCATGATTCTTCATTTTATTGTCTCAAGTTCCTCTGCTTTTGGGACAAAAACAGACAAATAAAAACAACATTTCAAAGGGAAATGTGGTCATCAATAAATGGTTTCCTTAGGGAGAACGATTATTTATGCCTTTGACTTTATCATATTTGGGGAGTATTTAACCTCTAAAACAATTATTTAAAAAGGTATCCCTCCTCTTGAACGAGGAGGAGGAGCAGCGAAGAGGGCTCATGTGAACTCAGGCAGGTTTTGCTGGCCCTTTGCAAGAAATGGTTCTATAATGTTCTAATCCCAGAGGATAATTAAAACAAGGCTGGAAAAACTTCATTTAGGAAATGATTTGCTTTAAAGAGTAGGTGAGGGAAGTATCATCGGTCGGCTGATGAAGTGGTCACGTATGGGAGAAACGCAGCATTTAAACCTCACCTCACCTGTGGTCTCATCTGCTCACACCACTCTTCCCAGAACACAGTCTCACCCAACCCCTGTCTTCACTTCCAAATCGGAGTCACTGAGACTTTGGCCACAGAAGACTTCAAAGAGTTGTATATGCAACTCCAGTGACCTTAACGGCCAAACATGCCTCATTTCTCCTCTGGTGACATGGGCGGTATGACTGTGAAACCAGGCAAGGCCCCGAGTTGCTGCCTCAGGACAAGCCTGAGGAAAAACTGGAAATGACGAGAAAAAACAGAACTTGAGCGCATCCAGCTTTCAGCCCCCTGTCATCATCAGCCTGGGGACCCGCCTGTCCTCCAAGAACATGACAGTGCTGCTACGTTTAGTTTCTGTTTTCCTGAGCAGAATTCATCTTCTCACCACTCAGCATGGTGAGGCTGCTGGCATGGTGAACTTTCTGTTCCACAGGCCAGGCCCCGAAGCCCAGCGTCCGCCACGGGGAGAGCCTGGGCAGGCACAGAGCTGCCCGCTGTGGGGAAGTTTCTTCTCATTGCCTCTCTTGGTGGTATAGTGGCACTTGTAGGTGGTTTTCACCAAAGTGCTGAATCCTCTTCCTTTTGGGGTCTTGAGATTGGCCACTGGAGAGGGCCTGGGACGCTGCCTGGCATCTGATCCTTGTGCAGCGTCCAGAGGCAGCCACCACCCCCACTTCTCAACCATCAGACTCTCAGCTAAAGCACCGCTGACAGCCCTTCATCTAAACTTCCATCTCCCAAACCAGCAACATAATGGAGGAGCCAATTAAATGATTATTAATTCATGCTACTTTCCGTAAGCCAGAGGTTCTCATCGCCTTGCATTCCGTAAACCAGCTTGCCACCTGCCCCAGACATTTACAGCAATCCTTCATATCTCCATTGGCGGAGGGGGAGCAATTTCACACACCTCCACACTCCGTGTTTGAGTTGGGCGACCACCCAGGACCCCAGGCACAGATCTGGAAATGGTCCCTCTGCTCGTGATTACAATGAAATCAGAGTGCAGTGTGCTCTTTCCTCATAGCACGTCTCCTTCCACTTCTCAGGGACCTCAGACTCCCTCTCCACAGCAGAATCAGTGTTTTCAGAAGGTCATCAGAGCTTCTGGATTTTGCCATCTTCGTCCTGCAGTGAAAGTGGAGCTAATCTTGGCATCTGCTCGCAACTCCTTCCCCAGAGGACAGGCTGGGCTTTCTTCCCTCATCTTCTATGGAGCTACTGCACTTGATGAGTGGCCAGAGTGCTGGCTAAACTTTTGTCTTCCCCTAACGCAGGGAATGATAGTTCCTTGAAAGGTTCTGCTCTGCTGCCAACTGGGTCTTTATTTATTTGCTTGTTTGCTTTTGAGACAGGGTCTTGCTAAGTTGCTGAGGCTGGCCTCGAGCTTGCAATCCTTCTGCCTCGGCCTCCCCAGGGGCTGGGATTTCAGGCATGTGCCACCAACTCTAAACATGCATGGTCTCATTCTGCCTCCAACAGGCAGATGTTCCAGAGAGGAATTGGGAGCTTTAGGTGAAGCAGAGACAGGCATTGGAACACCCACCACAGAGTGGTCTCTGTGATGTGGCGAAAAAGAACTTAGGGCTTCCTTTCCCTGTCTAGAGACCAGCCTAGTGAAACTCAGAACTTCTCCTCAAAACACAGTTCCAGTCTCAGGCATGGAACTGCAAGCTATTGCTGCTTTTACAGAAGCACAAACACCTGCCCCCAAAGTAGCAGAATATGCCTATGCAGGTACTCCAGGACACACAGGTGTCATCCATTTGGATTTTGTTTCTAAAAAGGATTTCAAAGAAAAGTCAAGTTACACCACAGATGGGTGTAGCTGTCACTCAGGGAAATGCTATTTTTCTCCTCCAACTCAAATGTGAATGAGATAGGTCAGCACCTGAAAATCCAGCAGCTCTTCATGTTGGTATTAGTTTGTTTTTTATTTGAAAATAATTATAGCTTCACAAGAAGTTGTAAGAACAGTGCAGGTAGAGAGAGGGAACATGCACCCCCACCCAGGTGTTACTCATCATCTCATCTAATCATTAAAGATGTCCCAGGCTCCAATCCCTCCTCACCGAGACCCTGTTGTCCTGGCCATTCCTCCCTCCCACCCCAATCCTGCCATCCAGGAGTACATCTGCATAGACGCAGGGCTGGGCCTCTGCCAGGCCCTGGCCCCATCTTTGAGGGAAGCTCAGTCTCTCTCTCAGTCAGCTGGGGCTCAGGACTTGCTGTCCAGCTGAAAAAAAAAATAGATCCCCAGACCTCCCACTTGTCACTGAAGTGGCAGCCCTGAGGTTCCCAAACTTCAACCAATCAGAACACCCTGGAGGCCCATTTGACCCTGAGTGCAGGCCTCTCCCCACACTTTCTGACTCAGGAGGCCTACCCCAGAGAATCTGCATTTCCCCTGAGTCCCAGGTAATGCTGACGTTCGGGGACCACATTGAGAACAGCTGTCAAGAGCCATAGCCTTCTGTAACTGGTGGAGCCACTTCGCTTTGTGGATTAACTAGAACCCACTGAGGGGGCCACACAGCATTAGAAGATCTACCAGTCCACTTCCAAATGATTCTGATAACATGACATTCTCATCTAAACCCAGGGAGGAAAGCGAGGTGTGGTCTCAGGCCAGAGGAGAAGATGAAATATTCTGTGCCTCAAGGAACCTGTTCATCCTAAAATAAATGAAGACATAGTTCAAAGCTGAAAACTCAGAAGGAATAACCTCCATGTGTTCTGTTGGCAGTGTAATCCTTGAAACCTCATTCTTTCCAGTGTCGGGGAGAACTCCTATGAGAAGAAGGCAGGTATCTGTGGGGCCTTTCTATCTCACACACAGAAGCCTCTTTTTAGTGCCAGCTTCCCAGGTCTAGGCACCTGTGCACCACACCAGAATAATGTGCCTTTGCTTCAGTCTAGAAGCTGCACACAGTCGGTCCCAGTGCCTGCGTGTGGAAGGAAGCACTGTGAGGGCAGGGTTCGGGTGCCATGTTGTAAACACTGCTCTCCCAGGCTCTGGAAGCCTTGAGAGGGGAATGGTGGCCATGGGGACCAGTGAGTGCTGGTGCTTGCTCATCAT